GGGGGGGGTGGTGGTGGATGCTGGCGCATATAGGGGACTACTATAGGGGTTACTAAGGGGGATACTAGGAGTTTAAACAATGGTCCATGTAGGCGATTTAGGAGCCTGAAGAAACAACTCGTTCTCTTACTGACATTCCCCAGGTGGCTGTTTTCTAGCTGAGTTGTTCAAACTACTAGTGTATAGTATATATGTAAGTACCATATCATATACTTTACTTTGCTATACTATAGTGCCTATACCATTAAAGCCCTTCATAGTGCACTAAGACTATAACCATCGTAGAATACTTTTTTTTTTTCGTCTGCCACATGCGACCCTCAGGTACACAGGGATAGCCAGACCAGATGCCAGGCCTCGATGCCCATTGAAGTATTGGGCATAATGGAAAAGAAAATGGAAACTACATGAAACTACAATATTGTTTTATATAGGGTTATATAGGGAGTATATGTTGGGGTTATATAGGGGTTATATGGGGATAATGGAAAAGAAGATGGAAACTACCATTGAGGGTTTAGGGACTTGGGTTTAGGGTTAAAGGGTTTATAGGTTTTAAGGCTTAGGGGAATCCTTACTGTATAGACCCGTAAGCGTGGACCCAAGTTTTTGGAAACCCTTATCCGTGTCAATTAGCACGTAATTTTGTTTTCCATGTTGTTTTGCGTTTGATTCTGAATTATTGAGCCCTATATGATCCCTAGAAACAGCCTTATATCATCCCTCGTTTGACCCTGTCCAACCCTATATTATCCCTGTATAACCCTCATACAGAACCCCTGTATGAACCCTAGATAAGCCTTGTATAAACCCCCAATTCAGTCCCATGCTCGGAAACTCTCACATGCATGGATTGTACTAGTAGCAAAGATTCGGGGTGCACTGGCAGAATACGCTGGAAAATGCTATCAACTTTTCAGCCCCCCATTCTACAGCAGAGAGCCCCGAGATATGGCTCAAGAAATAGCCATGACTCTTAACTGGAGTTTAGACAGATACAGTCAGGCAAGTTTAGCCCCTACAATAATCCCCACAAACTTTCATAAGACCGCCGCAAATACTCGCGTTTCAGACCAAAGCCCTTAAGCCTTATACACCTGAACAACTCCTAAAGCCTTGCTATACTACGTACTATCCTAAGCCTCAATAATGTAGAGCCCTGATTAATAAACCATATGTGGCTTAGAAGTATCCGAAACCCTAAGCCCTCAAACCCCTAAAACCTTAAGCCCTAAACCCTACACCGAGCTCTTGCCAGGGTGTCTGGGAACCAGTTCCCGCCATCTCTGTGGCGGCAGGCGTGGAGCCCACACTGGGCCTCTCAAGATGCTCGGGATATATATATATATTGTTACATATGGATTATATTATTTGGACTACGCAGAGATTATATAGGGAATATGGGGGGTATCATATAGGGGTTATACAGGGGTTACATATGCGTTATATAGGGATAATGGAAAAGAAAATGGAAGCTACTATAGGGTTTTGGGTTTGTATTGGGGCTATTATTATATAGGGTCTATATAGGGATATATGGGAGTTTCCCAAGGTTAGTGGTGCTTTTTTGGGGGTCGCCATAATCAGGATTGTAGCATGTTGATGCCTATATTGGGGTCCCCCTCTTCTGGGAAACTACCCCATGTGCCCTGTGAGTTACGGAGGTATATTATGTCATACCTGCGCACATACACATTGATGTATATACGTATATGCGTGTGTATGTATGTATATACACATGTAAATCTAAATGTGCTCCATCATTTGTACATGAATTGTATTGTATTACAATACATCTGTATATACATATATACACATGTCTCATACACATACGTAGATATACATATGTGCAAGATTATTGGATATTTTTCAGTGCCTTATGAGGGTGAGAGGGGATTAGATGGTAGGGACTAGAGGGTTCTTCAAACTTTCCTGTCCATGGTGGGGACGTTATCAGTTTTTGTAGCCAACGATTAGCCTGATTATTCACATGGCTTTGCAGCTGGCTGCAGGCTTTTCTTCTCTTTTTCTGTTGAGACATGTTGAGACTTCGGAGGGCTTCACACTCCGTGAATGGGACTGCAAGCCTACTCAGTGCAGACATGTCCTTGGTGCCTTTAGATGATTAAATCTGTTTGCAGATTCATTCATGGATCCCCGTGCTACCTAATTATCCCGAAAAAGAAACCTGAATGTGACTGCCCCCGTAGCGAGAGCATTTTGCTGGCCAGAGGTGGGCAATGTAGCTTATCACTGCTGCCCTTTTCTGTTGGGATGCAGCTTGTCAGTGGGGTTTGTGTTGGGTGAAGGAATATAGGGGTATAATATAGGGTTTATATAGGGGTTATATATGGGTTATATAGGGATAATGGAAGATAAAATGGAAGCTACTAGGTGTTGGGTTGTACTCTGGGTCGTGCTCAGAACATGTCAGCCCGTACAGTGTCCAGAGTGAGCCGGCAACCGGCTTCACTCCTTGCGCTTCTGCCATGTCACATAAGTGCCCAAATGCTTACCAATATAGGCCTACGTAATATCTTTGTAGCTCTTTACATTGGTGCTTACAACACCATCTATAACTACATGATATAGTCCCTCTCTAATCCTCTTAATTGGGCCCTAAGTTGCTAAGGGTTAGTAGGGGGGACCCATGATTCATTGAGGCGGCAAGCCCGGAGTGGGAGCTCGAACCACGTGCCAAGCAGCAGCACCCTTATGAGTTTAGGGTTGGGGTTTTGATGGGTATAGGGTGTAGGGTATGGGGTGTAGGGTTTATTTAGGGACTGGGTAATAATGGAAAAATTGGAAGCTATTATTGCATTTAGGGTGCAGGGTTTAGGGTTTAGCAGCTTATAGTAGGTTAATCATGGGGATAGCTAGGGATACTGTATGGTTTATAAGGTCGCTTAACCTACTTGCCAAGTGCCCATGACCCTGCAAGTGGTGCTTAAGGGAGAGTGGGGGCACGGAAAAGAACGTGGAACCTGTCATAGGGTTTGGATTTATGGCTTAGCGTTTAGGGTTTAGGGTGGGCATTGGATCCTGTATTCCCTGTATAATCTCCATAAAGTTAATGGAGAATCAAACGGAAACAACCATGGAACATAACGTGGAAACTGGGATTATATAGGATCCTATAATTGTCTTCATGCAATCCGCATACATACCCCTACAATAGTCCGTATATTCACTCCCCCACTCCCCCCTTACGCACCAGTAAGATGAGTGAGTGAGGACTTCCCGGTATTCTGTTCATGCTTTGATATGACACTTGCAGACGGACCTTTCTTGCTTGTTTCCTGGCCTGACTCGTCAAGTTTACTGTTGTTGTGACCGCAGCTATTTTGGTTCCACCGGAGGTCAGGATTTGGGCCATTTTTGAAGCCCACCGACTTGTCGCAAGATGATTCCGTCCCGGCGGCAAGCTCAGCGGGGTCACTCCTCACCAATTTTGAGATCACTGGTGGGTGGATTCCTCGTGCACCTTGGCACAACAGATCGTAGGCACCCAACTGCTGAATGCCAGCACACCCCGTTGAGACAGGTGGAGACGCGCAGAAAGAACTAGTTGAGATTGGAGTGATCTATCAGTTGTTGAGAAGTTTTTTTTTGCTGAGCGAAGGTACTTTGCTGGGCCTGCCGCATTCTCGGCCCTCACCTCTCGTCGTCCCTCTACGTTACACGGTGGGCACAGGCAATTCAGCTTGGCGCGACGGGCTGAAAGTGCTGAAACTGCCACTGCCACAGAGGTGGCCGACGGTGAGGAATTTGAGTTCCAGGCTGAGGTGGGCCGGGTCATGGACATCATTATCAACTCTTTGTACTCCAACAAGGACGTTTTTCTCCGAGAACTGGTGTCCAACGCCGCAGATGCTTGCGACAAGAAGCGCTTCCTGGCACTCACCGAGAGCGATGCGCCGCCAGAGCCCATGAAGTTGCGCATCAACACGAACAAGGATGACAGGCTCCTCATTATTGAGGACAACGGAGTCGGCATGTTGAAGGATGAGCTGAAGGAGAACTTGGGCCGCATTGCGCGGTCTGGCACCGCCAACTTCGTAAAGGAGCTGGGCAGCGGGGAGGCGGATGTCAGCCTCATCGGGCAGTTCGGTGTTGGCTTCTACTCAGCCTTCCTTGTGGCCAACCAGGTAGATGTCTACTCCAAGAGCTTCAAGAAGGAATCCGAAGGCAAGATCTGGAAGTGGTCTTCCTCCGGCCACTCTTACAGCATCAAGGAAGCTGAGGAAACTGACCTCTTTGGTGAGCAGAGTGGGACCAAGATCGTTTTACATTTGCGTGAGGAGGCGCAGGAGTACCTGGACACAGGCAAGCTTTCCGACCTGCTCAAGAAGTACAGTGAGTTCATCACCTTCCCCATTGAGCTGTACAACGAGAAAGTGCAGTATGACCAGGTCCCGGATGAGTCCGCCCCGCCGCCCAAGGAAGGCGAGAAGCAGAAGATGAAGAGCGTGCCACGCTCAGTCTACGAGTGGGACATCATGAACAAGATGAAGCCGATCTGGCTGCGCAATCCAGATGTTGTCAACCAGTCTGAGTATACCGAGTTCTACAAGACTACGTTCAAGGCCTTTGACGAGCCCATGACGGTGACCCACTTCAAAGTCGAGGGCCAGATCGAGTTCCGGGCGCTTGTGTTCATTCCGTCCACGATGCCTTTCGAGCTGACCCGTGACATGTTCTCACCGGAGGGCCGGGCCATGCGCTTGTATGTGAAGCGAGTCTTCATCAACGACAAGTTTGAGGATCTGGTACCTCGCTGGCTCACGTTCGCACGGGGCGTGGTGGACTCCGAGGACCTCCCTTTGAACGTTGGCCGTGAGATCTTGCAGAAGAGCCGAACGCTCAAGATCATCCGCAAGCGTGTGGTGCGAAAGGTCCTGGACACCATCGACGAGCCTTCCCCTGCAAAACTGCATCAGAAAGTCCATTACTGTACATGTGCCAGCAACTTTTCTGGTAACCGAACTAAGGATCTGCGTGAGAATGACCCCAACAAGTTCGAGTCGTTCTGGACCAGCCCCCTGATGGCAGTGTCATTTTGTCCCGCCTGGACAATCCTAGCATTCTGCTTCATGGAATGGACCGGCAAGTTTTGAGTTGAGGCTACGGCAAGTACTTCAAGGTGGGTCTCGTGGAAGACTTGGATTACAAGGACCAGCCCACGTCACATGCGCAAAGTCAAAGCAGATTCTTCAGACCAAAGAGGGGATGTAGGCCTGGCAAGGTTTCATCAGAGTTGCCAACATGCTGGACATGGGAGATATATGATATATGGATGCATAAGTGGCTACTGTAGGCAGAAGAATATGTGGACGCCTTTGGGATGTTTGGGCTGCAGTTCAAAGCACCTAGTATGTTGCAAGGCGATTCTCATGTCGACATTGCTGTTCAGGAACTTAAGTTGAGTGACCGTTGTAAGGTTACCACGTTGTTTACTTGTATCCATACTAGTATAGACTACGATAACTTGCTTTGCTTTCGTAAGCAGCAGCCCTGTAATCTTAAACAGGATGAGCTGAAGCGCTTCGTTCGATTCTGGTCCTCCAAGAGCGGAGACAATCAGACATCGCTGGATGAGTACATCTCCCGCATGAAGGCTGAATTGCATGAATGTTGCCGCATGTGCTGTAATTTTGCCTTGAACACTACCTGTTTTTCTGATTGGTTGGAAAAGAGACTCTGCTCTTATGCTTTATCCTTCTTCAAGTTCAATGCTGAACTTTTGAGATTTCAACTTGCTGCTAATGACTGCTAATGCCGGGAGCCATAAGGCAGGTGAGGAATGTTGCTGGGGGTTTAGGGTTTGGGGTTTAGGGCTTAAGGTTGAGGGTTTAGGGTTTGGGGATCATGGCTCTTAGAGCTGAAGTCCAGCATTGATTTACAATTCCAGGCATCCTAGTAGATCAGAGCACAGAGGCTGTCGACTGTTGGATTCATGGGGGGCAGGGTGGACCCCTTGCCTCGTGCCCTACTGGTGGCATAGCAAGGTTTTGGTTGCTGCAAAGCCTGAAATCCAACACCTTGAGCTTCTGACCTTCGACATGGTCCTTGAGGAAGTAATCTGGGTCTAGATCGTAGTCTAGTTGTCCTGGACTTACGCATGTCAACTGGCTAGGCGGGCACGCATCAAAACATCGCAGCTCTGCCCCTGGGTGTTTTGATCGTTTTGTCCCAGAGCCATAGCAAGTTCAAAAGTAAAGCCACGCCGGCACGAGCAGGTAAACTGCAAAACCTGCCAGGAGGGCCAGGACAAGATCTACTTCGTGACAGGCGAGGGCCGCCGTGCTGCAGAGATTGCTCCTGCCATGGAGAAGATGCGCCTGAAGGCCAGGACACACACCTGTTATGTACCGCGCGTATGGTCTTGGAAGGGGCTCAGGTAACAGCAAGAAAAAGCAGCCCTAGCCTTCTGGCAAGCACATCCAGCTGCTTGTCGTTGTCGCTCGTCCAGGACTACGAGGTCCTCTACATGGTTGACCCCCTGGATGAGATCTGCAGTCAGAGTATCGTGGACTACGAGGCCACAGATGCCGCAAACCTATTCACTTCAGATAGGTTCCGCCAAGATAATGGATATCCCCCAAATTGACCCCTACATAATCCGTGATAGGGGCCTTATACTCCCCTCTTTATTCCCATCTATTCCTAGGGCCCTGAGGTTCTGCCCTTCCTGAGCCAGGGCAAGAAGATAGTTGCACTTTAAACCCAAATGCAAGCTCCCCAAGTCCCGTTATATGTTAATAATTTGGGTCGTACGTTTCAATCAGAATTGCGTCATAATTACCCTAAACCTTAGATACCCCAATATATCGTCCCCCTTAAGTAGATAGAATATGGGGTATGTCGGGATCTTATTGTAGTATAATATACCCAAAGCCATATTCTATCTACTTAAGGGGGACTATAGATCTCAAACAACTTTTTGTAAGTGTGTTCTACTTACCCTGGAACCCCGCCCAAAATACTAAAATCCTAAACTCTGAACCCTAAATAGTATCTTCCATTTCCAATATGCTTATATTACCCCATCATATCATAGTAGCTTGCATGTTCTTTTCCATTGCCCCTGCATAACCCCAACCCCTAAGCCCGTAAAGCTCTATAACCCTAAACCCCAAGATCAGGGCAAGAAGTTGGTGGACATCAACAAAGCCGGCCTCGATCTTGACAAGAGCTTCTTGGCCGCTACTTAGGGCGTAGGGTGTAGGGTTAACTGGAATATAGGGAGACATATAGGGATTACTTCGGAAATATGGGAATCTAGGGGTATAATGTAGGGTTTACGTGCTGTTTCTTTCTCGGGAATACGGGAAGGTTTAGGATCAAGGGTAAAATATATGGTTCTATTATAGGGCTTATGGACAACAAAAAGGAAACTACTATATAGGGTTCAGGGCCTAGTGCGAGTAGGGATCAGGGAATATCTAGGGGTTCCCTTATTCCCTACTAACAGCCTCTAGTTTAAGGTTCAGGATTTCGGACTTCGCATTCCAGGATCTTCCAAGCACCAGTACGGGGAGTACTTTTACAGAGATGATACACGAACCCTAAACCCTAAACCGCGTTCGGGATATAAGGACATGTCCGGTTTACTTTGCAGTTTCCAAAATTGCGGGGTCCCTGGGTTGTGGTGGAGAATCCGCGGGAAAATGAATGAAACGGAAACCGTCGGGCTTTTGGGCAGAAGTTTATGTGTATATATATATATATGTACGTGCACACGGGTTTGGGTTCATGCTATGGAAAAAATTGGGGAACCCCCTTCTTGGGGTTGCTGCAACAAGGATCAGAAACCTCGTGGGGGTTATAAAAAGGGGACTGCTGCCGGCGATGACATATATAACACATTTAGAGCCTAGTTTCCATATGATTTTCCATTCGATTTTCAATCCCCCTACATTCTCACATTCCTCAGATAATCCCTATATAATCTGCCTATATTATTCCAGAGAACCACAACTATGTGGTTTGCTATTGCCATAAACCATTGCCCGTTCTGCAGGCGAAGACGAGAAGAAGGCCGGTCTAGTGAAACGTGCCTTGCAACAACGCTTCATCGTGCAGGTATTGTAGACGCGTGATGAATAAACCCCTTCCTTTAAAGGGCCTTAATATTAGGATCCCTTTTACAATCCCTATAAGGGGAAGGGGTTCATTAATCAGGGGTCTACATTATGACAAAAGAAGCTAGTCCCACAACTACTGAAGCGATTGTTGTAGAAGAATAGGGTGTAGGGTTTAGGGATTCCAGTGCCTTATGGAATTGATTTCTCTGAGCTGCTATTCCCTGCGCAGTCCGCAGGGTGGTGCAGCACCATGGGTCGAGAGCTCTGTACAGGGGCTTTACTGTCAAATTACGCACCGAAGGCCAACATATTTTCCGTGTTCGCTGAATGTAGGACTTAACTGTGGCTCCGTGAGAAGCATCGGAAATAATGCGCGTTTTTGAGCAAGTACGGTACAGGTAATCAGGCAAAGGCTCACCAAAGGATGCAAGACATTGGAGCCTTACCGCTATTACTTCTTGTCCGATTGTTCCTGTGACCACGGGATCTCAGCCTCTGTCAGGAGATGGAGGAGACGACCAAGGACTGAACACAACATCATCCCCGCACGGTTTTTCATAATTAGTTAGCTGCTGGTGCCAATGCATTTCTGTGGGAGGAGTTCGAGGCACTTGCAACCTGGTTGAAGAAGCAGCTGGGTGACCCGTCTTGGAAGCTGTGGCGGTATTTTTTTCCTGACCGCATTTTTTCGTTTTTGTTTTGCATTTGTTTTCCGCTGCTTGCTGGGAAGGCAGGCAAGAGAGCAAGCAAGGTAGCCACAAGGAAGCAGGCAAGCAACATATCATTATCATCCTAATTTCGCATTTTCATAAGTTGTTCCTGATTTCTCGTATTCTTACATCATTTTCACCACATGTCATCAGTGTTCATCAAGTTTGTGAGGCATGTTCATCAGGCCACATCATATCTTACCACGTTCCATCACCTTCGTCTTCATAGCTTTCATCATCTCCATTCTTTCAATCACTTCTCACCAGCTCATAACGTCCACCATCTTCATCATATGCTGACGCTTATCAGTTTTTGTCAATGCTCCTTCAAGTTTCATCATGTGCAAGCCTTTTTTTTGTCATGTTTCTTCATAGTTCATCATGTGTCAGCATGTTTCATAAGATGCGCAGTTGCTCACCAGTGTTTCAACATTGTTCGTCGTCTTCCTCATCTTTCATCATCTTTCACCCCTTGTTCTTCGGCGCGTGTAATTTTCTCCATGTTGTTTCGTCTTTCAACATATTTTATCATTTCATCAGTTTCAGATATTTTGAATACCTTTCATCATGTCCGCAGTTTTCCATGATTTGCCGCATATGCCATGAGTTTCAAATTCTTTCATTAATCCTCATCATGTTTCACTATGCTTCATCAATTTCCATAGATTTCTCCCTCCCAGATATTGTCAAAATGTTTAGTGACGACTTTTGGTGTTCAATGTTTTTCAAGGAAAAATTTGCAGCACGTTACAATGATTTACGAAGCTACACGGGCAGGTCGCAAGATTTCAAAATGTTGATTGTTCTGTTCTCGTTCTGATTACTATTGCTTCTCTAGCAGGTCCTTATGTTAGCAGCAATATTAGAGGTGGAAGCATACAAATAGTGTTAGTAATTTGGCATTCATGCAACACCCACAGCAATATTATCCATGCAGCTGCAAATCCGAAGCGATTCCTGCCCATGTCCAGTGACAGTTTTGTGTGTGAAGCGTGACTACGTGCGCTGCGGCTCTTCAAAATCGATTTGCCCAGGTGAGCGAGTGCAGAAGGTGCAGATCTCTGACCGCCTGGTGGAGTCGCCAGCCACCCTTGTGCAGGGCGCTGCTTGGTTGAATACTCGCTAATTCATGGTACGACAGCCTCTATCAGCGTGGCGTAAAGCAGAACACAGTAACAGCACAGCACGGGCATTGCTGCTGCTGCTGCTGCTGCTGGTGGTGGTGGTGGTGCTGCTGGTGCTGCTGGTGCTGCTGGTGCTGCTGGTGCTGGTGGCTAGCCTTGTTAGCAGCGTTGCCTGGTGCCAGTTTGTCGGTAGCTGAGCCCAGGAATGGGGTATGTCCCCCATGATGCAGCGCTACATGAAGTCGCAGACCACGTCCAGCGCTTCGGACAGTGCTTTCGCAATTGGCTCCAGGAATCAGGCCGCTCTGCCAAATTTGCTTCGCTAGCCTCAAATTACGCTCGGCATTGGTTCTAAGCTTAATGAGTACCTTGTGGAGGCTATCTTGGAGATCAACCCTTCGCACAATGTGGTGAAGGCAGGAACAGCGGGACTAACTTGGGATTCTACAAAAAAAGCCTGTAGAGCCTTTATGTTATGCATCCAGGCCCTGAAGAACAACATGGAGACCAAGCCAGATGCTGTGGAAACCGAGGACATGGCATCTTGACACACTTCTGGGCAAGGTAAATACACTGTATGGTAATTTCCTTAAATAGGGGAACCCAGTATAGACCCCAAAATACTCAAATCCTTATTATGAGGACCTTTCCGGGAACCCCTCATGTATTCCTATATGGATCTTACATAACCCCAATACAAACCCTATAAACCCTAGACCCTATAGTAGCTTCCATTTTCTTTTCCATAATCCCTATACAACCCCTATATAGCCCCAAAATAACCCCAATATTATGCCAGTTTCCATTTCATTTTCCATTTTCTTTCCATTTGATTCTCCATTATACAGGGTCCTATATTATACCCAATATTCCCATCCCATATAATCCCCATATAGGGTAAGAGCCAGAGTGAAAGTCAAGTTCTGAGGGCTGGCCATGAGGTGATGATGCTCTACGAGACGGCAGCTTTGATTGGTGGCTACACCATCGAAGACCCAGGCATCCCCCTTAGCCTTAGTACTTGCTCCGTCTCCCATGCTCTCCTAGCCAGTTCGCATGGAATTTGCGTGTGAACATCCTCCGTTCCATTTGTCTGAAGGAGACTTGTCTTGAGCTTTGGCTTTTAGGGGTATGCCCAATGCTGTGACAGAGCTTTCAGTCATTGTTCGTGTGTGTGCTACACTGTACTACAGGAAAAACAGCATTCTCAGTCTTCCTTATGCGCTTGAGCTATCGCCAGAGCTCCTTGTGTCAAGGCTACAGCGTACAATCCGCCTCCTTGAAAAACAGAAACCTCTACTTGGAGGGCCAGGGGGACTTAGTTAGTAGGCCCATAATATATGGTTTATAGGGGTTATGAACCTACTTACTAAGTCCTCCTGACCCTCCAAGTAGAGCCATTTTTCACCATCTAAAACCTAAAGCCTAAATTTCCTTGGTGCATTCTGCAGCTCGACCCTGAGCTCTGAGGCCGCTGAATTTCCAGAATCGTCCCTGCCGCTAACATCCATAAACCCTTAAACCCTGGACCCTCCTAAACTTCAAAAATCTAAACCCTACAACCCGAAGCACTCAAGCCCTAAAGCCCTGAACCCCAAAACTGCAGGTGACTTCGCCAAGCGAGTCACGAAGCTCATGGAGATGCAGGCGGAGGGAGCAGGCCGGATTGGTTTGGGTTTGGGGATTAGGGCTCAGGGTGTTGGATGGCTTAGGGATTATATGGGGTTTTTCTGGGGAGGATATGGTTTATGTAGGAAACCATGCGAGGGACTGTAAAAGACTACACTGGCTTCTTGTAGCATGTGTGGAACTTTGCAGGGGGAGCTTGAAGCTCCAACAGCCTTTTAAGTGGAACGTAGGCGCAGCAGATGATGCCACATAAGGATGAGACTTAGTCCAGCAAGCCTCCTATAGAGCACTAACATATTGTTACATGTTATTACTATTGTTACTGCTATTGATATTATTGTTTTTGTTGTTATCCTTATTGTTACTATTACAGTCCGTTGCCGCGCATCTTAACCCCTAAACGCGGAAGCGCGGCCGCTTGGGTGGATGATCTGCAATACTGCTCTGCAAGATGCCTGTAGAGTACGACTGTTACATATTGTTACTGTTACATATTGTTACTATTACCCTAAACCCTAAACCTTATAGTATTATTGTTGGCCGGCAAAATCCTGGCAGACTTCTCACGCCTTACACAAGCCTCCTGCTGTGGCCTACTTGAGGGTTTAGGGTTATATTGGGGTTATATGGGGATGCAAAATGAAATGGAAACTACTATTTAGGCTTAGGATTATGTTAGGATAATGGAAAATAAAATGGAAACTACTGTAAACATCCCTATTATCTTTACAGCTAGCTAGACCTGCGGTTGGAGCCCACACTTTCTTTTGGCTACATGGATGAGACAACGCAGCTTATGCATATGATGCGTATGACCAGAGCAATGACTTGTAGTCTTATCTTTCCTGCAATGTGTACTTCATTGACAAGATTGTCAGTTGTACCGTGGGAGAATAATATGGTCCTTGTATAGGTGTGGTATACGGCACCTCAAGCAGGCCTCATGAGAACATTGGTAACTTGTAGGGCCATATAGTAGCCCTCCTAAACATTGGAAAAATCCCTGGACAACCCCCTGTATCGCAATCTTTATAATACAGGTCATTATTGGGGTAAATTTTTCAACCCTCTACAATCCCTATAGAGCCCCCCTGTAACCCTATGTAAACCAATAGAACCCTGTAGGGCCCAAGATCACGCTATACAAGCGGTATCAAGCAAACATAACTCTCTATAATCCCAGTGCAAGCATATATACATATATAACCCTCTCTAATCTCCATACATGCCTATATCACCCTATTTGAATAGAATTCCACGGAACCTAACATAACTCTAACACAACCCAAAATAACACTACAACAGCCTATGTAACCCTCTCAAAATTTCTATAGAACCCGATCTAGCCCTATATAACCCAAGTACCCAAAACCGTAAACGATAAAATCATCCGTGCCCATGCCCCTCCAAGCAGATCTGTGAGGTGCGGGCACCCAGGATGCAGAGGTCGTGGCTTAGAGCCTTACAGCTGCGAGCTTTGGCTTCGTTAGAGTGTATTTAGGGGTTATCAAGGGGTTATATATGGGGCTTGCATAGGGCGGTGTAGGGATTAGGGTTTATGATTATATGGGGGCTATATATACAGTGTATATGGGGTTTGTACAGGAATTATTGAGATTATATGTCGATTATGGGGGTCATGTATGGTTTCAGGGGATGTTTTCCCGTAGTGGAGAATCAAATGGAAAAGGAACTTGGAACATAGCATGGAAACTGGGATTGTGCAGGTCGGGGCTTCAGAACTTGGAGGTGGCTTACTGGGGTCCCAAGATTGCATCAATTTGGGGTTCAGGGAAATTGCCATAAATCTGCTTCCTGGATGCCAGTAGAAGAACCCTTCTATCTCCCCCTCTTGAAATAGAAGATCTATCGAACAGCACAACCAATCTGTCTAAGCCTTGGCTGTCCTTGACTTCTGCAGCAAGTTTCCAACCCTGCCCAGACGTGGATAGGTTTTCATGCATGAAGCAAGAAGGTGTCCCACATGGTCCTGTCCGGGAAGTTGACAGGTAGGGCAGGCACTATCTGGTGTATTGTGAAGGCTCTCCAGTGAGGACTCATTTTGTTGGGAGAGTCGTGAAGATTCGAGAAGGAACTGCGCTAGCTGTCTAGACTGTCTAGCCCTACATATGCATGCGGGCATCCTGCAGCCACATGATGTGAGGACTTACACGACTGGCGCACCGAGAAGGAGGCTTTGCGAGGCTTCCTTCTATGATTCTGTTGCGAAAGACGCACAGACAGATGCAGCAGCTAAGCTGGCGATTCCTCACCTGCGCAAGTTTAACCATCAAGCAGCAGGAATTCACATTCCGCAGTTCTTCTCCGGTGAGGCATTGTAATACGCCTGCTAGCTGTCAATGCTGTTAATGTGTGGTGTGAGATGGCCCGCACAAAGTATGCTGCAAGTTGCTGGAACATGTCCCGTAGGCGGAGAGATCAGCTGTTGCCATAGCGATGCTGGCTTGTTGTGGTGGCAGGTCTTATTGTCGCCTTCCCTGTGAGGATCATTGCCATGAAATGTTGATAAACATTTGGTGAAGTTGTTTCCTGAAAGGCCAGGCATACGTTTTCTTGCGCCGCGATGCAACGTAAGATGTAAGGTGTTGGGCATGCGCCAGCCGTCTCATTGATGTTTTAGGGCTAAGACTGTTAAGAGGGAAGCCGCACCATTGGTCACTTACGGCAGACAAGTATGATCAGAGTGTCGGCGCAAGTATATCGTGTGATAGTCTGGACTTGTTCCCCTCGTGCGCTGTCGTAGATGCTTTTCAGTCATTGTTGCAATATCTTGTACTGCCTTACTTCACCGGCGCAGCTAGTAATCAGTGCATGATTTTCGGATTTTGCGTGGCCTTGGCAGCGACTTGCAGCTTGATGCCATTCCATGAAGCGTGTCCGGGGGGCCGCAGGTGGATGCCGGGTTCGCATGTAGGGGCTAGCTTATTGACAAAAAAAGTCTTGACAAGGATGCCCGTATACCAGTAATTTGATCTACAGATAGTCGAATAGTTCATGATGACACGGCAGAAGTATGGCTACTCAGCAGTTATCGTCACCATGATATTTGGCAGCTCAATAATAATTAGCTGATTCGTGTGCAGAAGCGCGCATCAATTTTCATTCCTGCAGCGTATTTGGGTCCCCAAAGTAACAAGATCAAGCCCTTCCTGGCCCTTGCTAACCAAGCATGGGCCTGGCGGGAAATCATGTAAGTCGGAGTTAAGCTGGCGAAAACTTGGGTCCGTCGAAACTTCTTAAGATCAGTGCAATCCATTCAGGAGAATCCATTGAGGAGACAAAGTCGGAGCGAAGCATACTCATGTCGGTGGAACATCCCTACTGGACCGTATTAGGGGGCTGACGAAAACGGGGTGCTGGGTTGATGCTGGTGCACAGCATTCTACAGCTTCTCAGTGCCTCTTGAAGTTTTACAGTTCATATATGTATATATGCAAGATGGGGACAGTATCTACTGCTCGGATTCTCAAGTACCTTTGCTGTCCACGTCAGAAGGAGAACGCCATGTGGAAAGAGGGCTCTGCCTGCAACTTTAGCCCTGCGGCTCCGACCATTGGCTGAGTCAGAGAGACTTCAGAAACAGTCACGAATCCCGCAGAAGAGCAAAAAGCCCAGTTGCCTTCGGCCACCCCAACTATTTTCATCAGGCTGCATCCATAAGGTGGGACGTCATAGACATTCCCACACAAGATGAGGGTTGCCCTCTTAGGATAGTTGCCACCCAAGAGCCTTGCCCCTCAGTTGCTGGCACAGACTTATGGAACGGCTGAAGGTATGGAGCCTCTGAAAGGTGGCGACAGGATCCCTTAGCAGGTGCCAAGGGTGAGGAAGGTGAAAATCCGCAATTCTCCTTCCCCAACTACTCGGTATTTGAATTCGCCAGCTTCTTCCACCCCAATGAAGCCTTGAGTTGTGCTAGTACGGCAGAGATGTCTCTGATTGACTTTGCTTTGCCTTGTTATGTGAACTTTCGATTATGCTTGCAAATTGTTTTTTTTTTTGCAGCCTTGAAGACTTGAACATGTTGCAGGGGTAAACGCAGGGGGCGGCCCAGACGTCGACCGGGGGATGAACCCTGGACAAGGGCCGTCCAAGTCTCCTGGCCTTCGTCCAACCCTCGTCCCTTCATCAAAGCTTCGCCTCCTTCGTCTATGCTTGATCGGGGTTGTGGTTCGTCAGCTCTCCTGGGTGCATGAGAAGAGGTGGGGATTGAGGAGCATCAAGCTCCTGAGGCACAGCTTCGTAATTCTTCTTCCCTTTGTCCACGCCGAGGTTCGTTTTGCTTTTTCTCAAAGGCGTTGCGAAGGGTTGTCTGTGGAGGTGGCTGTCTATAGGATGGCTTGATTGGGCGGCTAATGGATGGCTAGATGTTTGTTTGATCGGGTGGGCTTGATCTTAGTGTTCGCGGCGCATCCGGACGCTGCCGCGTAGAGCGTTCGCTGGCTGACTTTTGCTCGGAATCGACAAGCTTCTCAGTGATCTTGGAGCGTGCGGATGCAATTGCGTGGAGCGTCCTCGGAATTTTGCTCACCCTTGCAGTGGACGCGGGTGCGTCTGCCCTAAACCCTCAAAACCTCAAATCCCCAAGACCTCAACTCAAACCCTCCTCCAAAACCGTGTAATTTCTAAGCCGAGGCGAGCCCAAAGACTGGTCAGGGGGTCTCGGCCACCTGGTCTCCAGTGGGAGCCCTGGAATATTGCTTCGGGTGTAGGGGAGGGGTGCAGGGTTCCAGGGTTGGGTAGATCAGGAGATGACCACAATGGGGTTCGGGTAAAAGGCAGTGACTGTTCTGCCTTGTAGGAGGCTCATGGATAAATCTAGCAGGGATTGCAAGCAGAATTATTTTTTATAGCTGTACTACCTATTCCAGCAACCCATGCACCACCAGGTATAGCAGGAGAAAGTCTACGCCATGGAGTTTATTTATGATCTCTATATTCCTATAATATATTCCCCCTATTCCCTACTAAGAACCAGTCAGATTATGAGATGCTGTGAGGTTGCATAGGAATTTCTGAGCTCCAGACCGCAGGAAACATGGTTTAGCCCTGAGCGCTTCTGCTTTCATGCTTGTTCTGACTGGGTCATCACAACGGGACTTGCATGGGGCTTAGGGTCATGGATTCGTGGGCTACATACAGAATGTTGACGTTTAGAACTTGGGGTCAATGCACACGGTTTGGCTCTTCAAAGCCTTAAATCCACATTTCCCGTTTTTTGAGCAGCTGTGGGTGTGCGAAGGCATAGCCGAAACGCCCCCTCATCGGGACTACTTCTGAAATTTTAGCGGCGTCATCGGGTGTTTCATACCAATGACCGACCGTATCTGAACATATGGAACAGCCTCCAAAGCGAGAGGACTGTTCTGTAGGGGTTTCTCAGATGGGAATCCACATTCTTGCAAACTCCCGACAGCAAACTCTACAAGATCCCGTTACTCCCCAAATTGACTGTAAGACAATGGTCCCTGGGCCTGCTTTCACCTAAAGTTGGTCCTTAGCCTTTACCAGAGGATTCTAGGGGCCCATAAGATACAGAATCAGATTTCTAGGGGCCCCCGGAGTAAGGGCTCATATCAGGGGCCTACGGTGTCAACTTTGCATTAAATGCCTCCTCAAAGGCTTCAGGCCGCGGCCGTCGAAGTCCGCCAGAGTCCTAGAGCACCGGCTTTCAGGGGCTTAGAGCTCCAGACTTGGTCTTCAGATCAGCGTACAGGATACCAACAAGAGGAAGCAAATGCGATTAGCTGGACAACGCTGGACACAGCCAGCCTGAGATAAGTACATGTAGCCGGCCAACAAGTACATTCGCATGTGCATGTGTGCCAGTGTCTTGGCTCCCACAGACGGGCAGTTCAAGCTTTGTCTCCCTTCAGCTCGCGCTGGTCTCGCTGGGCTAGGGGTGCTGCCATGGCAGAAAGGCGCCGCTGGGATTTTTTTTGCCCAGCCGTGCTAGATTTGTGCACCGTTCTTCTTCTTCGAGCCAGTTGTAGTAGCAGCCGTCGCTATAGTGACTAGTGGAACAGTAGAAATGCGTCTTCACGGAGGTTGTCACGCGTGGGCAGGGCAGTGTACGTGTAGGACCTCAAAATGCGAGGACCGTGCTACTGTAGGAGGCCTTGTTAGCGCAAAGCTGCTTCAAACCACAAAACTGCCATGAACAAACAGCTGCAATAGGCCAACTCCGATGAGTGTTGTCCAGCCCGGATGCATGCCACAATCGGAAACCGAGGACTGCAATCATTAGGTAAGATGGAAGTCGTGGTATGTGTTCCTCGGTCATTCGTCACTACATTACCAAGGCTCGATTCTGCTGGTTACCTTCCTGCAGGATCTTCCTGCTGACCTCCTTGATGAGAACTGTGACAACTTCAGCAAGAGGCAGGAAAGCGTCGAGACACAAGTGCCGGAGTGCGACGGCGCTTCATCCCCAGAGTCCCAGTCCACGCCAGCAACTTATCATTCCTGGACTTCGGACGTGGATGTCTTTGGCAGCCCGAAGAAGCAGCATCACCTGGCAAAGCTCCAGGACCTTCAAATAGTGCTGCCATACAGGGGACTCAATGTGAGCAACAAAAAGGAATTGGTATTCCTACTATAGTTACTTACCCCCCACCAAATGTTCAAAATGGTATTCCTACTATAGTTACCCCCCACAAAATGTTCAACATGTTCAGCTGATATATACTGGCTAATGGTATTAGATTGATTGGCCAGGACAACCTGTAGGCCACCTAGCATTCAGGCCCGGAAGTGACAGCACCGCGCTGGTCATCATTGTGCATCATGCCTCACGAATTACTATTACTACGATAAGAAATAAACATAAACATGGTAATACTAGTAGTTTTGTTATAACAAGTATAGTAATACTTGAGGCTAAGCACGCGCGGCGGCATTTTTTTATGTTATTCTGTGCAGCTGCTCATTTGATGTTTCGGAGCTGGCGGGCAGGAGTTGGATGTTTTCCGCTCCTTAGTCGAGAGCCTTGATGGAGAGAGCCACTTGGCAGAGAAATGTGTTCAAGTAGCAAGCGGCTGTGGGAGGATGAGCTGGTCATGGTCACATGAGGTACTTGCAGTCTCCTAAACCTATATTCCCCCCTTAAGTAATATCGGGTATATGGGGATCTTATCATAATGTACCCAAAGCCATATTCTATCTACTTAATGAATCCAATAAACCCTAAACCTTACATACTAGTTTCCATTTTCCATTATCCCTATACAACCCCAATATAACTCTAATATTCTATCTACTCAAGGAAGGCTATAGAATGGAACAGTGTAGAAGCGGAAGTGTTTGCTGCTCGGCTCCGGGATGAAGTGACTCAGGGATTTAGGGATTTAGGGATTTAGGGGTTTAGGGATTTAGAGGTTTAGGGGTTTAGGGGTTTAGGGTTTAGGGTTTAGGGTTGTGCTCTGCGCACTTCATTTCTGAAGAAACATTGGTGTATATAGATCCTATTTTCCCTATATACCCTATTCTTTAGGAGGACCCCCCACCCTGTAATAGTGGCCTAATAGGAATATAAGAGGACCCTAATATATTCCTTATTATCCCTTATAGTCACTATTACTGGGTCGGGGGTCCACCTAACCTATTCTACTGTAGTCGTTTCCATTGTCTTTTCCATTAACTATCCCTATATAACCCCCTTTTCCCATTATTGGGGTATGGAGTGCCGCGGCTGGCGAGGCTTGACACCGCGCACGTCAATTGCTTGCCTGCGTGCTGCAGCTGAGAGTACCCGTCTGGCCGTCGCTGAGTACGACGAGGGATGGCTAGGCTCCTGTTTGCTTCTGCTTTGAAAGCCATGACGTGGTAGTGGTAGTTTCCCAAAATGAGGGACCCTAATGTAGACCAAAAAATCCTTATTGTGGGGACCCCCCGAATAAGGTACTCCTTACTTTCGGAAACCCCCTAGTTTCCATAATTCGGGGACTCCGAAAAATACTGCGGCTTTAAGGCTGGGGCACCGTGCAGGTCTTGACCTGGGGTGTGGTTTTTGCATTTCCCAAAATTAGGGGTATTCTGGGGATCCCCGTAATAAGGACTTGACTATAGTATTTTGGGGTCTATATTGGGGTCCCCTTATTTGGGAATCTACCACTAGTTTTTAAGGTTCAGGGGTTAGGATCTCAGAAAGGATCGTTCAATTTCAGGACTCTCGTGAATCAGTTGCTTGAGGGCCCCGATTAGGTGCTTAGGACCGTCCATACCTGATTGCAGTTGACGAAGCCGATAACCTTCCTACAGAATATTACAGCCTGCGTTTTCCGGCGTAACTCCCCAAAACGGATCCGTGCTTTTGAAAAGTACCCAAAGTGTATGCCTGTATGCCCACATAGTCTTTACATCTCCGTCTATCTTACCCATGAAGCATCAAACAACCATCAGACATCGTCAGACATGCTCATCCCGAGGAGACCGAGTCAGGAAGCACGGATGAGCTGCATGTCCGCATCTCCATTTCGAAGGAACCGCACCTGCAGGTTCGCGGATTGTTACGACCACGGGTATAATCGGGATAAGCATGCTCAGTCATGATTGTGTTTAGGCGAAGCAGATCTTGCTTACAACTAGTCGCGAATTTTCAGGTACAGCAGCTCCATGCTTGGAATTGAGGCCCAATCCTCCACGCCGCCTCTGGATATCCAGAAGGCGCTTGAAGGTTTACCCCCACTGGGGCCCAATTGTTTAGCATGTTCTTAGGGGTTCCTGAGCGTTTCGCAGCCAAACTTTTCCATTTGTCTCGGAAGTCTGGGTGCCTTATGAAAGCTCCTTGCAAAAGGCCGCAAAAAGGGCATTAGGGTACTTGCAAAGGGAGATCTCGATTCCGAGACACAGCCATTTGGCTACGGCCTTGATGCCCCGCACTCCTTCGTGCCTTACCGGAAGAGGGAGTCTTCTCTGCTCCAATGTTGTTTGGAGGCTTATGCTCGCACATGCGTGCAGCTCCTCGCGCTCTAACCGCGGGGATACCTGTATGGTACACTTTATACTTTGAAGCTTTGAAGCTTGCCTGTCGTGCACAACTTGCTGCCCATGGTGCCTGTACCATGTTTGCGCAGGCCGAACTTGTGCACATGCAGAATCGGTTCCAGTGCTTGCTTTAGCATGCAAGCGGTAGCCTGCACGCCTGACATGGAGTCGATGCTTAATCTGCTATTAATATAGGTAGGGACTATATAGGGATAATGGAAAAGAAAATGGAAGCTCCTATATTATACGGTTATATAGGGGTATAGTATAGGGTCTATTTAGGGATGTGTACTCCGCCGAATTGAGGGTCACACTTGATACGCCCAATCACGTTTGCCAAGACCAGCAACAGCTTACATAAAAAGGTCGGCACAGGCTTTTTCTAAACCAGCGGGATATTCCTAGTAAGTCTGACCAGCTTACCAGAACACCGCGCAAGGAAAGTTGGCAAAGGGTGAGAGCTACATTGGGTGCCTTCAGGCTTCTGACCATGCATTGACTCCGCGAGTGATGATTTGCAGACGGCAGGCTACCGGGCTCCTCGAAAATCGAGAAGGGCTGCAAAACGGCTCCTTGTGATGGCTCGTTTACGCGCATAAGCAGACATCAACTATCAGCAGCTGCAAGGTTCTCGCAAGGAGCCAGTTGCTACGCATGAATAAATTTTCTCCTTCAGACCCTGAAAAGACGTGCCGCTGAGGACCTTTCAAACCCAAACATGTAGTTTCCATGAGCTCTGCATCACCAGAACCATGATAGAATCAATCACCATCTTGATTCCTTTGCAATAAGTTTTTGGGGATGTCCCTCAGACTTTTGATTGGAGAGGTTCAAAAACGGTGGTTCCTCTGCAGAATCCGGGCATTTGTGAACCGAGATCATGTAGAGTCGATGCTCTTGCACGGCACTCACTCTTTACCTGTAGCCTCCTTAGGCAATCTCTTGATTTTTTCAGTACAGCCCCAAGGAATTATAGGGTATATATTGGGGTGATATAGGGATAATGGAAAAGAAAACGGAAACTACCATATAATAGGGTATATAAGGGATTATATAGTGGTTATGTTGGGATTTACTTTCATTCTAGGCCTAAGGGGACACGGCCGACCTTGAGGCCGAGAAAGGCCGGCACTCCCGGCGTTTCTTGTTTAAACAGATCTGCGGCTTGGGTGCGCAAAAAAGCAGGGTTGCTGTTAAGTAACTTAACTTAAGTTACCATAATGGGTATATATAGTACATAGGGTTTCCCCAACATAGTGTTTAACAGATCTGCGACTTGGGCGCGCAAAAAAGCAGGGTTGCTGTTAAGGAACTTACATTAAGTTACCATAATGGGTATATATAGTAAATAATAGGGTTTCCCCACAACTTGGGTGCGCAAAAAAGCAGGGTTGCTGTTAAGGAACTTAAATTAAGTTACCATAATGGGTATATATAGTACATAGGGTTTCCCTAATATAGTGTTTAACAGATCTGCGA